TGCCCAAATTTCTACTAATTCAAAGAGTTAGATAAAATTTGACTTTCCAGGAGTTAGAGATTATTTCTGCTCCCATATCTGGGCTTATATAAATTATGAAAAGACATTTTTCCTACGGGAAGCGCTGCCAAAATTTTCTTAGTTTAGAGGAGATAGATTATATTTTGATAGGTGATTCAGGCGATCCACCCAGAATAGAGGAGATTTAGCAGTTGGTCTACCTTCAGCTTAAGCACTGACTTAAAAGTCGACTTAGATTTAGCTAATAAGGAAGTTTTGAGTGAGGATGTATTATGGAGTTGTATTCTCCAGACACTTATGATCTTAGCTTGGGGATTGGTCTGCCGTGTGTTACAGGTCCTTTTGATCATTTGATCCAAGTTTAGGGTTAGATCCATCTTGATCCCTTGAGGATCACTTACTGTTATCACTGATAACAGATCGGTTGCCGATTCGTCGGTCTATGACTCAATTTCAACTCTCCGTCTACACTCAACCCAAAAGGCTTTAGCCCCGGTGATTTCGTTGTTTTATTAAGGTTTCACCCGGACTTTTATTGAATGACCATTTTGACAAAGGTGCTGAGTATTTAATTGAGGTTGGTTGGACAGGAGGTTTTGGGGCTTGCATGGCTAAAGCGAGGGGTATGAATGTCGAGGGTGGTTGGGGTTGACTCCGTGTAGTGTGTGGGCTGTTGATTTGGTTTGTTGATGTGATGSYAGGTATGTGCTGKGAATCAGATTCTGRATTTGGTTGCCTACAATAACACATWTACGTRTTATTGTGAGAGACCCCAKCGAAACCATGGAAAGTGATCGTCACATATTAAAATCTTATATATGTATACATGGGTATACTTGGGATGAATGTTTGCATGGGTTGAAGAGCCCCCACATTGGAGCCCACTCAGAAGCTGAGACTGAGGGACTTAGGGGAGGTCTCTCCTTTTATTCTTGTCTCTTGCKTTTTGATGATTTTCTTAGTCGGACGTTTGGTCCTGGGMYGGGATTCGAGGTCCTTGTACAGGACATCCCAAGCCCTAGGCTCTGCAGGGGAGGGGTTTTCCCTCGYGAAGAGCCTATTTGATTTGCCYACCGTGACACTCAGGTCGAGAGYCTGAGGTGCCTCGGCGGCTGCACGACTATTCYTTCAGCCGTGCAATGTCGTGAARGGTTAGGCCCTYACGACACTTCAAGTCTGACACTTGAGTGTCATAAGCGGTACTCGAATCCACGAGGGACCGCTTGATTATGGGCACTACATAGTACGCCATCGTTGCGACTGATTGTGTACGCCTTCATTGCAAGTCGATATGAGTATGCCCTGTGTCCGCGCGGTTTTATACTAAGTTCAGCGCGCGACGCCTATCCGATTTTCGCATTGGAAAGTTATGGGTTGGCTACCGAGGGGCTAGGAGCGTTGTCGCGTTGTTGATATTGTGTCGTTTCGTATATATGTTGTTTTGTGTGTATGACTGTTCGTAAAGCGGAGTGCGCGTGGTGTGTGGGATGCGTCCTAGTCGACCGACGATGAGTCGCGCTTGGGACCTCAACCCTCCCAAGATGTCGGTTCGCGTGCGGGTCCGATAGAGGCGTATTACCGCGCGTACCCCCTATGCTACAGCGAACGAGAAACGCCCTCGGCTGGTCCACCTCTGCGATTGCAACTGATTAGCTTTCATACTGTGGACTGGTAGCTCGGCGGGGATACGCCCACCGAAGGGAGGTGATAGCTCCCGTAAGGTGTAGGTAAGTCGTGCCTCGCGTAGGCCCTATCCAGTCGTAGGGGTTCGCGAGAGGTATGGCTGGCGCACCCGGCCGGAGCGGCTTGCGGAAGCTCCATGTATATTGCGACGAAGGGTTATGAAAACCAACTCCTACGTGACGCGGGCGGGAGGGTCCCGAGCTGCCCCCGTGCGGTGCCAGACTGATGCGCCCGACAGGTGGCGCCGTTGCCGGGGATAGCGGAAAGCATACCGTTGTCCCTGGTGGAACGACATCCGGGTATGAGAAGTGAATAAGAAAAGGCATAAAGGAGTGATGAGAAGTAATGAAGGAATATATGAATGACTAAGTGTAGGTGAGGAAATTTACCTACCCAAGTAGAGGAAGTATGAGGGACGATCGTGTTAACATTGGGTAAAGTAAGTACTAAGGGTTAGGTAGGACGGATGGAATAGACCGGTCAAGGTATAGTGTTGAAT